TGCCCGACTAGTTTGGGGTGTAAGGTATGCTCCCTTTCACCTAGAGTGTGGGACAGTAGATGTGATGAGCCGACTCCCCTATGAAAAAAATTGATAAATAACTAGGAGTATAAACTAAGCCTGACAAATAATTTGATGCCTTGACAATCCAGAAGTACTTACTTTAAGTTTTCTAATTACCTTTATGCATAGACTGGTTACAATCACGCATACACAATAACAAGGAATCATGACTAGGGAATGGACTTGACTGATATAACTTTCGAACATGTTGAGGCCAAATATTTTTCATGAGGGCTGAAATCTCAAACCATATGATTTTCTTATAACTGCTTTGCCATGACAATTTTGATTTTCCTCTAGTTATTATACATTGCTTGAGGACAAGTAATAGCTTAAGTTTGGGGGTTTGATAACTCCATAAAAACACTCAATTTCCAGTCTTTTCACTTAAGTTATTGATCATCTAAACAAAGTATGCACAACATTTTAGTTGTATTTAGTCGAATAGTTTATGTTAGCTTGTAGTGGATGAGTTTTGCTTAGCAAGATTTATTTGGTTTGATAGATGCTGCTGAGGAGAAAGAGTTGTTTGGGTTGTGTTTATGCAGGAAACGTACAGAGGAAGAACATTTCAGTCGTGACAACGAAAATTTACAAAGGTCAATGGAACAGATAAGAACGTGAGGAGCAGATTTATCTCACCGAGGCAAGGTTTATCTGAAGAAGTCTGAAGCAGGTGTGATGAAACCGCCTATGTCACATGCCAACTGGATGACATACTTCACATGCAAGAAAGCCTTAATTATTTTGACAACCGCCAGCCACCTTTCCTTTTTAAGTTTGGGCATTTAACAATGGTATTTAAGGAAACTCCAAAAGCATGTGAAGCCCTAGGAGATCATTCCTTATAAATAATCAGTCGTAGCCACAAAAAATGGGGGAAAGGAAGAAGAGAGAATAGCTTTACCTAAGGTGTGAGCAAGCAACTGCAGTGCTTCCCCACCATTTATCAACTAATCTTCCTTGGTGTCCTTCATAGCCAGGCTGTAGCAGAGCGGTGATCAGGTCTCGAGAGAGGCTGATCACCAAGGCAGGCGCGGTGCTGATCAGAATTGTCGCGACAGAGCCCCCGGTTTTTGGGAGTCGTTCTTTCTTTGTTCTTAAACTTTTATCTATTTGGGGTTGTATTAAACATTAAATCTTGGATGATTTTTTATAGTACCATGACTGTCTTACTTGGTGTTAAACTTTGTTTGTCTGAACAATTATTTTATGTTTTATGAATGATGAATTATGTTTTGCTCATAACTGTTTTGCTCATAATTATTTTGCTAATTATTTAAATATTTTACCTTAACATTGTAAGAGCATCGAGAGATCGCCTGGGGTTTTGGTAAAACATGTTTTGGCAATGTAAGAGCATCAAGAGATAGCCTTTTGTCTAGATAGTGATTCTTATATTCGAGAGAATTAATATAGATCCACGTGAGCAATGGAATGAATCCAGGATGGTGAAGTTCTAACTTGTTTACCTTATAGATAAGGAGTGAGTTTCAATGACTAAAAGGGATAGACGCTAGAGTAGGATAGACAACGCCTATAGTTTACGCTGAGAGATATTGTTACAATAATAGTTTGACAAACCAAGGGTTGTAGTTAACGCTGAGGAGTATTGTCATAGCAACCGTCTAAGAATACCTAGTAATCCTGTCGGGCAGCTTTAGGAAGTCATAATAATTCATTCTAGACTTAGGATAATTGTTGTTAATACAAAAATTTAGCATAAGTGCTCTGTGATAAGCTGAATATGTGTTGTTGTTTGCATTATATTTAAATCAACACTTGCCTTGTTTTATTTTATTCCAACATTTTGCATACTTATTTTGCCTCGACCAAACTTTTCTGCAATCATTATATCATTCTTGTTTTATTAATAATAGTTTTTAAGTTGACAATCTCGTAGGAATTAGTTTGTGACCATATAGTTCTAGTTGTGGTAAAGATAAATTTCTAATCCAATCCCTGTGGAGACGATACTCACTCACTACTATATTACTTGATTTGATTGTGTATACTTGCACAGAATTGCTTGCCTTAGCATGTACATTTATAGGCGATCATGAAGCCTTCTCCATAACTCCCAAAGGTAAGTTGCAATTGTTTGGTTTTTCCTTTTGATTGTAGGTTGTTTTTACAACCTTAAGTGATATGAAAGCTTAAGGAATGATAAATTGGGATTAAAACCATGAAATTAAGAAAATATTAGAGATTTTAGAAAATGGGTTTTGAAATGATAAGTTAGTATATTGGTGTTTATTGAGGTTTATTGGTAGATTTAACTTGCCAAAAAGGTAGAAGAGATATTATAAGTATTAAATGGGATAAAGAATACATTAGAAAAAGTGGTTTGATTCTTAGAAGTGAATGTTTTTTAATGATTTTAGATGTTCTAAGAGGCTAAATGAAGGAGTGTTAGTAGGGATAGTGAAGGAAGAGTTTAATAGTATGGTATGGGGTAAATGTAACGAGAATTTACCACATTTGGATGAAAATCGAGCTGAAAACTGAAAATTCTGGGCAAGGGTATCGGTACCTCTAAGAACAGTATCGATACCATATGCTAAAATGAGATAAATTTGATGAGTATTACCGATATTGATTCAATCAGTATCGATACCTATGAGGTAGTATCGATACCATAGTAAGGGTATCGATACCTAGAAACATCGAATCTAATTTTGGTATCGATACTGGTATGGGTATCGGTACCTTAGTAGGATAGTATCAATACCCTAGTAAGGGTATCAATACCATGCAACATCGAACTTATTTTTGGTATCGATACCCGAAGGGGGTATCAGTACCATAGTATAGAAGTATGGTACTATGGTAGTAGTATCGATACTATGGAGCCAGAAATGTAAAATAGGTTGATATTGATATAAAAGGTTAATGATATGTTCTTTGGAGTATTGTTTAATTACAATGGTTAAAAAATATTCTAACATTGAGTGTGATATATGTCTTTATGGATTGCTTGGGTAGATCGGAACCAGTCTCCCGAAACAAGCAAAACTAAGGGCTAAAACAAAGTACCAGAGTAATCAGTCCTATCTTTTGGACACATAGCAAGGATAATCAGGTGAGTGCATTTATGTTGTACATTAAGGGTTATAAAGATAAAATGCTAAAAATACATGTATACATATTGCATCGATATATCAATACTATGTGTACTATAAGCACTTTGTGTGCATAATCACGGAATTCATCATAAGTTGATGAATCACCGTACAAGCACTTCGTGTGCATAATCACGAAATTCATCACAAGTTGATGAATCACCGTATAGGCACTTTGTGTGCATAATCACGAAATTCATCATAAGTTGATGAATCACCGTACATGCACTTTGTGTGCATAATTACGGAATTCATTATAAGTTGATGAATCACCGTACAGGCACTTCGTGTGCATAATCACAGAATTCATCATAAGTTAATGAATCACCGTACAAGCACTTTGTGTGCATAATCACGAAATTCATCATAAGTTGATGAATCACCGTACAGACACTTTGTGTGCATAATCACAGAATTCATCATAAGTTGATGAATCACCATACAGGAACTTCGTGTGCATAATCATAGAATTCATCATAAGTTGATGAATCACAGTACATACACTTTGTGTGCATTTTCACGGAATTTATCATGAGTTGATGAATTTATGTATAGGGCACTTCGTGTGCTAACATGTTAATGAACATAAATAGAAGAGGGTAAAAGAACCATAATAGCACCAATGATACAAAGTTATAAGTCTTTACAATAAATTGTAAAGAGTTGTTTAACATTAAAATTGTTACCCTATATTGTGTTTATAAGTTGATTATGATTATATTTGCCTCACTAAGTAATACTTAACGTGTGTTCGTTTCATGCGTAGGTTGAATACAAGCTGAGTAAGGAGATCATCGGACATCCAGTCAGAGTTGCCTAATCAGTAACAATATGGCATACTTGTCTACTATTGATATATTTTAGTTGGCATGTAATAGGTGTAGTAAAAACACTCTGTAAAACCTTTGAATTGAACTACTGTAAAACGGTAAAATGTGGAACATCTCTTTTGTGTGTATATATAAGCTAATGCATGTTTTAATTATCAATAAATTCTAATGGTTTTATAAAACAAAACAAATTTGTATGGATTTTTATATGGGAAAACTGTTTTAAAAGTGAGGTGACATCTGTAGCTCGTATACGTAAAGGTATACGGGAGATGGGTGTTACATAGAAACTACGTGAGTTTCAGATGTTGAACCCCCAAAGAGCATATTGTTGTCATTACAGTTTTTAGTAGTAAAGGAAATGAGATGCTAGATATAAAGTAATGAAATCAATCACGAGAAGTATCAATTCATGCTATAGCATACCATAAAGCAATTGGTCAACTATTAAATAAAATGATATGATATTATGACTTCTAAATTTTATACAAACATGATATACTTAGTCGATGCGATTAGCATTGATTAAAACCATTTAAACTATTTTAATAATTTTTATTAATTAAATATTCAAACTATTGACAATGTTAATATAATGATTGCACATTTTCAGTGTACTTATGTTACTCGACAAAACCAAAGCGCACAAATATACATTACAATTCGAATGAAAATATTTTTTTATTCAAACAAAAACACAATATATTTAATTACAAAATATTTCTACTCACAATCATGAAGATAAATCTCAAAAACTAAATATCTAAGTAAACATAAAATTCGAAGTCTTTCTATTATCCATTGGCCAGACATCGCATCAAATTGTCAAGCTCTACGCTTATTGGCCCACGTTTTGCAATCTCCACGGCTAATAAATATCCCACTTTAAATATTATAATGAAAATTTTAAATTACAATTAAACCCACCTGAATCTGGGAAGCTCCTTAAATCTCGATCCATGTCGAGGCTGAGGTAGACACTTGTCGCCTCCATACAGCTAAAGCCTCCCGATTTCGCTTCAGAGAAAAAGATACAAATTCTCTATCGATTTGCAGCAATTTTTATTTTTATTTAGTTTTTTTGGTGTAAAAAATTAAGATAGTAGCAAAATTAATATCTTGACAGGTAAAAATAATTCGCGTCTTTCTTTACCTCACTGCCTTACTCTCTCGGTCTCTCTTTTTTGTCTACTGTTTATTTTATTATATTTTTGCCATTTTCTTATTTTTTAAGTTCTTTTTTTTTTCTTTTTGTGCACTTGTAGTTCGTTTAGCTGAATATATTTCTGTTCTATGATGGAAGGAATTTATTTTATTTCTCAGTTGATTCTCTGGTTGAATTTTCTTGATGTTTACATGTTGATAGGTTTTACAATTTGGAATAATGGGTTGGTTTTAGATTTTGTTGAAGCTTCATTTTTGTTTGTCGTTACTGGTAGTCTTAGAAATGGAAGTTTGATACTTGTTAGCTGTTGATTAGTTTAATTTGTTTTTCTTTTTAGTTTTTGGATCTGGGATTTGGAGAGGAAAAAATGAAATTGCAAAGAGTATTTTCAGCTTATTCCTTATTATCTGCTTGAATTTGATGGATTTGCAGGAGAATTTGTTTGGTTTATGTGTATGATTGTATGTTTTTGTACTAGTTGTGGGAGGATCTTTAAATTTTTAGGTTTGACATGAAAGTTTTTTTTTTTAAATCTTTATAGGGGCATTTGAATAGAGTTCATTTGTGTTTTCTGCTGTTCAATACAAGAAATGGGATCTAATCTGAATTTCAAGAATTTTGGTGAAGCTTCAAGTATGGAAGGAAACGGATCAAAGGCAATGGACAGTTTCCCATTGGCTAGGCTGTCATCGATATACTCGTTGACCTTCGATGAGCTGCAGAGCACATTCGGTGAACTCGGCAAGGACTTTGGATCGATGAACATGGATGACCTCTTGCGAAACATATCTACTTCTGGAGAGATTCAGGCTGTGGTGACAGCCTCGGTTCCTGGAGGAGAAGTTGGTGTTTCTGGTGGTAATTTGCAGAGGCAAGGTTCATTGACATTGCCGAGGACTCTGAGTCAGAAAACGGTCGAAGAAGTATGGAAAAACTTATTTCAGGAAAATGATGGTGCTGAAAATACAAGTAATGGTGGTGGTGCTGGTATCGGTGGGGCCAATCTGCCGCAGAGGCAACAAACATTGGGAGAGATAACTTTGGAGGAGTTCTTGGCGAGGGCAGGTGTAGTCAGAGAAGATATCCAACAAATTGGAATGCCAAATAACACTGGATTCTTTAATAACAACTCTGGTTTAGCTCTTGGGTTTCAACAGGCAGACAGAAACAATGGTTTTTTGAGTAACAATAACTCTATTCTTAATCAGCCTCCGATTTTACCATTAGACATTCGTGGAGCCAAATCATCACACTCTAAGCAGCAGCAACAACCACAACCTATATTTCCCAAGCAACAAACGGTTGCATTTGGTCCATCTATGCACTTGATAAGCCCTACACAGTTAGCTAGCCCTGGGGCTCGGGGTTCGGTTATTGGAACCAGTGACCGTTCAATGAATACTAATCTAGTTCAGACTACTGGGCTGCAGAGTGGTGGGATGGGAATAGTTGGTTTAGCATCTCCTGCAAACCATATATCTTCAGATGTGATTTCGAGCAACAGCATAGACGCCTCTTCTTTATCACCTGTCTCTTATGTACTTGGCCGGGGAAGAAAACGCAGCGCTGCTTTGGAGAAAGTAGTTGACAAAAGGCTAAGGAGAATGATTAAGAACAGAGAGTCTGCTGCTAGATCACGAGATCGCAAGCAGGTTAGTTGGGTCATTGTGACCCTTGCATTGATTATTTATCCTTTAGCCTTATGCATAACATAAATTTCCATAAAACAGCTGTAAATTTGTTTGAATGCTGAAGCGTGGTGATTCTAGAAGTTCCTGAATTGTCGTTTTGGACCAACTCTGGTACTACAAAAGCATAAAAACAACTGGTTGTATTAACTGTTCCGGTTTCTGGCAGGCTTATACATTGGAACTTGAAGCTGAAGTTGCACAACTTAAAGAAATGAACCAAGAATTGCGGAGGAAGCAGGTATGTACTATATTCGGAGTAAGATTCTCCGTATTTCTTTGAATACATTGAATGAATGGCACTCCTTGACTATGCTTTGGTTGGTGCAGGAAAAAGTTATGGAAATGCAGAAAAATCAGGTAATGCACATCTCTCTCTTCCACAATTGCGTTTATATTATAGCATTCCTTTGCAGCAAACTAGCTTTTAGATGGGTTCCAATGACCAACAAATTTTGCAAAACATAGCGTAAGTAATGGTTTGCTTCTGCATTTCTCACATGCTGAAGAATCCCACACTCTGCATTTTTTCACTTTGAGATTAAAAAGATGATAAACATCTTCTTCACGTAACTTTACGCGGAAACGAGAATTTTCAGGATGATCAATAAAAACTGACTTCTTGTCAAACAAAGAACGTATTTAACTTGAAATCAAGTACTTTTGAGTTATTACTGGATTGAAGAGTTAAAGATGAGTTACAAACTTACAGTTCAAAGTTTCACCAGGGCCAGTGAAGCAATTTACCATTCTGTTTGCTAACCTAAGTATGATAATAGAGCTGATTCGGTCTGCCCTATGTTGCCTTATTTAAACAGATGATAGAAAAACTGAACCGGCCATGGGGAAGTAGACGACAAAGCTTGAGGAGGACACTGACTGGCCCGTGGTAGAGTTGAGGAATTGCTGATGGTAGAAACGTTGCTTTGATAAATAATCTTGGCCGGTGCTATGATTCAACGGTTGTAGCCTGCGTCTAATATCTATATCTTCATACTGCATAGGGGCTAGATAGATGTACATATAGGAACAAAGGGTTTTGAGTTGCAAGTTACGAACTTTGCAGCATTAGTTCCACTTTGTAGATTAGATTTTCTTATTGGCTTGATCTATGTTTGCCCATCATGATTTAACCTTGACGACAAAGGCAGGCTTGTAGGATAATTATAGATGTATGCTCCAATATGTTTTTGTTCAATCTACCCAATGACTTGGTTGGTCTCTAAATCTTCATACGATTTGACTTGTAAAATTAAAACATATCTCAATCTATTTGCATGTTGTTAGAAATAAGCTATTGATTGAGTTTCTTGTATCCGGATCAGCCTTTATGAATTTCAGGATTCATTTTTTGATGTTGACGATGAAATTGAGGACAATATTATATTTATAATTTTATTTTTTAAAGAGTGGATTTTGAGGACAAAACATTGATAGAAGTATAAAGAATTCAAAGAATTGAATTATATTAAAACAGATGAGTGATTCGGGATTTTCCCATTTTCAGGATTTTGTAGCTTGTATATAAGCCATTTTCATGACCTTAATTGCATGATGCTGGGGAGGCGTCATTGAGAGGCTTGATAGGGCTATTATGAATTCTCTGTGTGAAATATTTTCCGGAATCATTGCTTTATCAAGTACGCCGATTTAAATCGGGTTCATTGGTGGTAAACCGGCTTTTAGAGGACCACCGCCGTTCCGTTTCGTTGCAGGTTGGACACAGCTCCATTCTTTTCAAAATTTTGTTAATGGATCATTGTCGTCAGAATGCTTCTAATTCTATGGCCAAAACAATGATTCTATTCGTTGATGATGTTAATGTGTTTGAATCAGGATGTTTTTGGTCATATTCAAACAAGGAACATACGAGTTATGAAGCATCTTTCAAGCATTCAGGCATCTATTCATCTTAATTATTCAGATGACATTCTTTGGAATCATAAATCTGGGATCAAATTGGTTGTCTTTAGGTGATTGCAAAACCAAGGACTTTTTCCGGGTATCCTCTTTGAAAATACATGGAGAATGGTCCTGTGATTCTCAAGTTGTTATGAATGAAGATGTTATCGTTTTTTCCAACCACTTTTTCGCATGCTTTTTCTCATGAACTAACAGGGTTTATTACTAGTATTTCGCTTGCAGTTGATTACCATTTTGATCATTTCTAGTCTGTGTTTTGGTTTTTGCTCTGCTCTCAAGGTATATACCACATGTCCATTGCCCCCTTGAAAGTGTCGGTTTCTATGTTGTTTGTAATATAATGTATGTGCTTGAAACAGGAGGGACAGACATGTTTGGCAGATCGGAATTGTGACTCGGGACTGCACTGTGAAACTTGTCTAACAAGTGGAAACCTGCGGCCCCGATGCACCAGAATTGAACCTCTAAGCGCCATTACTAATGTCGGTACAGTTTCATCGATTTTCTGTACATGTCTGTAAAAAATGGTATCGATATGAACTCCGGGGTTTTAAAACAGGTTAAGGGACTTCCGTTTAATCAATACTCATGGTTGACTACGCACAACTCGTTCGCCAAGCTAGGAGTGAAGTCAAGCAACTGGTACTTTGCTTTTGGCTCCTACGAACCAGCAAGACTCCGTCACCAGCCAGCTTAATGCATGTGTTCTTTCATCTCACTGTGTAATGTTGGCAGAATTAGCTTAATATATGCGTTTCTTTTATGTTGAAGAGACAGCATCATTGCTCTTTATGTCATGTGGTTTGCTCGTTTGTGCTATGAATGCTTTGAACATTGGTTTATATGGGTGCGCTGTGTTGCTTCCCTGCATTTTCTTGCTAAAGCAAAATCAAACTATACAAAACCTTGTTTCCCCAGTTATATATGGTACTATTTTGTTTGGTATGTTTGTGACTATAATGCTGTGGTTGACATATGACTGGTGTCACATGTGTTGTTCGAACTCTTCAGGTCGTTTTTTCTTGTTCCGATATCACAATTGAGTTCGATTAACGTAGAATCGACTCTGCCTGCTTTCATTTGCATGTAGCAAAGATGATCTGGTTAATAATAAATACATGCTTGGTTTCCTCTTTGATAGGCTAACCTAACTTCTTACCGTTTCTCTTGACATCAACGGTCATTACACTCGATCTTATCGACTTTCCCCCATAGATTCAGAACGGCCTTTATATATTATCACCAAGGACCAGATACTAAACAATTTGCTTGTTGAATTGCAGCATGGTGTTAGAGGATTGATGCTGGACATGTATGATTTCCAGAATGGCATCCGGTTGTGTCACTCTTTTGGAGGACGATGCTACAACTACACAGCTTTTGTAAGTCGATAAATATATTTCACATGGGACTTGGATTTTTCAAAATGAGATTTAACCATGATCATGATCAAGTCATTAATGGAATAGTTTTTTTTTAATTTAATCAGCAACCTGCAATTGATGTTTTGAAAGAGGTTCACGTATTTCTTCAAGCAAACCCATCAGAAATTGTTACCATTATCATTGAAGACTATGTTGTCTCTCCAAGGGGATTCAGTAAAGTATTCGATGCTTCCGGCCAAAGGAAGTTCTGGTTTCTTGTGTCTCGAATGCCGAAAAACGGTGGGAATTGGCCAACGGTCGATGATATGGTTCGAAAGAACCAGCGCCTGGTGGTTTTCACCTCAAAGTCAGCTAAAGAGGCCTCTGAAGGTATAGCTTATCAATGGAGATACATGGTGGAAAGCCAACGTGAGTCCTTTCACCATAACCTTTTATTCAGTTAACTAAAGAGAGCAGAGTTGACATTGATGCATTTGGGAATAACAGATGGAGATCAAGGGATGAAATCTGGTTCATGCTCGAGCCGACGGGAATCACCCCGCCATGAATGCGAAATCGAGGTCACTGATCTTAGTCAACTACTTTCCCGATAGACCCAACATAACCAAAGCCTGCAAACTCAATTCAGCTCCATTAATTAGCATGACAGAAACGTGTTATACGGCAGCCGGCAACCGGTGGGCTAACTTCATTGCCGTAGATTTTTACAAGGTATGAGTGTTGCATAACCTTTATTTGGTATTGGTACAACCAAAAGGCATAAACAACCTGAAAATGAATTGCCCCATGAACATTTCAGAGGAGCGACGGTGGAGGTGCTCCAGAAGCTGTAGACATGGTGACGGTCATCTAGTTTGCGGATGTGCAGACATTTCCTATTGCAAGGTCTGAAACAGCATTCTTCTACCCCCAACATCCTCCATTCCACTGTTCAAATAGTTTTGATATTCAACCGTTGTTTAAACTTTGTAGGCAAATGCGACATTCGGAGAATGTGACAAACCCGACGCAGGTACCGCCCCTGCACCAGGATCCTTAAATCATAGATCAAGCACTGCTCATTTAGATAGCCGGCCAATCTCATCACGGTTGTTGTTGTTGGGTTGGCATAAGTTTCGTAGCCGTTCTCCTGCAATTGTAAACAGGAACTCAAAAACATCATCTTTTTTGTCAATAAAACAGTGGTTCAGATTCGAGGTACATAATAACTGGCCTGTATTTTTTGTCTTCTTCTGATTCAATGATTGCAGCAGTTCTTTATAATGTAACATTGTATGAGTGGGTGACGTGATTGTTTTCATAGAATCTTTTTTTTCCCCTTCAGCTAATAATGCTACATTTCAGGCATGCACCGTCATGTCACAACATATTTGTCTGAATCTTCCCTGTCACCTGCCATTTAACAATGGATGAGCCCTGTATGTAATAATATGGAAGCCACTCTATTACTAAAATGACAAAAGAGCTTAGACCATCCATTTTTTCCATGGATGACTGCCGATCCGATTGCCCTATTTTTTCGAATCATGTCGATTAGCGGAAAGCAGTAGAGAGCAAGACGTGGAACATTTTCATGGTCTTGGATCAAAACTCATACCTTCCTAATTGTTGATTCCAGTCCCACAAGATTTAGCTTTGAAAATCAAAACTATATGCCCAAAGAACCTTTTTTTTATCACTATCAGCAGAGCAACTTGTGTTAAGCCAATGTCATCAAAATTCAAGTTCAGGGCCTGAACCACTGAGGCCTCCATTGTTGAATCCACTGTAAGATCCTTCATATAAATTTCACAATTCACTTTGTAGAATATTGGTGACTCCTATACAAAACCCAAGCAGCCAACTATCATCACATTCTCGTATGACTTTTAACTGTAATTCATTTTTTAGAATAATTCAGATTTTGTTTTTAAAAAATATTCATTATTAGTCACTAGTTAAAAATTTTAACGTCTCGGTGATTTGGAGTAAGGGCTAAGATTAAAAATAGCAGGAAGATCAAAAGTTTAATTATTCCACTCAGACCTTATATTATTATTTGGATTTTTGAAAATAAGTGTCTTTGCTTTTTCTTTTTGTTGAAAACATTTTTGTTTTGATATAACAAATTAAGTTTAAATTAATTTTAAGATTTTACAAATGATTTTCTAAGTATATTCAATTTAATTAATCGAATATCAAATTATTACTCCAAGTCTTTTAAGATCAATTTCAAACCTTACTAAAAGTGTAAAATTGTGTTTTATACTTAATATATTTTTGAAACAATTTTCACAAAGTATTTTGAACCAAAATCAAGCCTAAAATCAAAATTTCAAAGTGATGCACCGATGCACCAATCTATGCATCGATGCACCATGGAATAAATTGAGCATCGAATGCATTTCATGCATTGATCCACATACCATGCATCGATGCACTAAGGATTTTATGAAAACATCGAATGGCATTTGATGCATCGATGCACCAGCCATGCATCAATGCACTCTGGCTATTTTGAAACATCGAATGCACTTGATGCATCGATGCACTCTTAGTGCACCGATGCACTAAGGGTCCAACGGTCAAAATATTTGAATTTTACATTGATGCACCATGGGTATGCATCGATGCACTGACGCTCCCAACTGATTTTATTAATTGTTTTCACACTTAAACGACTATATTGACTCCACTAAGTATCCCCAACGTTCAGAATCATTTGAAGGTGTATTTAAACAAGCTTAGAAGCCATTGATCAATAACAAGAAATAACAATCAACAAGAATCAAGAGAGAATCAAAGAGAAAGCATCAAACCTCAAGTTTGAGCATTCCAAGCCTATTTTTCATTCAATATTCATTTTGCTTTCAAGAACACTACTTGTACTCAATTGTTTTTTTTAGTGTTCTTCTTTTGTTCTAGAATTGTGCAAACAATCTACCTTGTGAGGATTTCCTTGTAAGTTTGCAAATTTGTAATCTTCTCTTTGAGAAAGAGTGTTCTCAAGAATTGGGGTATAT